GATTTAGTTCGTCTATCAACTTATTAAATCTATGAGTAATTGATCAGATTGATCTGGTGATTTACATAAAGTTCGTTGACTTCGTCAAAAACAGGTAAGAATCTGTATTTTAGAGCTGCTGGGGATACCCATGTGAAGATTCCTGACTCTGTGTCCGTGCCCAGCATCGTGTCTGAGTTCTATAATTTTGCTGCATCTCTTTGTCCAGAAGATCCATGCTGTGAGTTGCACTATTTTTCTTAGTGTCTCTGTTAGTCCAAAAATTTTGATCAGTTAAGGTAAAGGGGATACTTCTGCTTGGGTCGTCTTGTGGGCGCATTCCGCGACAACATGCTACGTAGAGTCCTTTTCTCGTAACGGTTCGCAATTGAAGAATTTGTACTGCTTTTGCGACTAGGATATGACTGAAAAGTACGTCCTAAGAAAATGAGACATTAACGAACGTCCCCGCGCTCAGTCAGCACGCAAGTTTTTTTTTCTCGGTCAAAAATCTGGTCCCGAGTCTCTATGATCGTCCTTTTTTTTGCTGCTTCACAATATGTTACGAAAGGCTGCGGCCCTCATAAGTTCCAGTTCTGAGTTGCTCTAGTTGCTCTGCCCTTCCCCCCTCCTCCCCCAAGCATCCACAGCCATCAGGACTGCGTGTCATCAGTGCATTTTTACTCTTGCAGCAGCCTTGAAAAAACTGAACTCCGCTCATCTGGTTGGACTGTTCGAATTGCTGAATGGTGAACTTTCTACGTTATCAGGTAGCAATCCGAAGAATATCTCAGCTTTTGTTCTTGACTTCCTGTAACTGCGCTCGAAATCATTGTTTTAAGAGGACGAGTTGCTTCTTCACCATCGATATGCCACGGATCTACCGGAGATGCAGACTGTTTTGCTATGTGATAGTGGCAGATACTGTTTGTGGAGGTGCGTGGATTCCAGATTTCCAAGAGATCAAAGCTTTTGTATGAGAACTTATTGAAAAGCTTTGAACTCACTTTTGTGCCCTCTTCGTTAAGAGCGGTGATGTATTGACTGTAGAGGCCATTTTTTGAAAGGTCTTTTTTCAGAGACATTCCAAACAGTGAGGACTGCTTGATTGTTTACGTGCCAAATGAGGACAGATTCCCCAAGATCGAGGTAGTTTCGCGGACGTTATAACATTTTAAGTGCCTCAACTTCCCACGTATTTGTATTGTTGAGGTTGTGGGAAATTGTATGGAACATGCAATCGTACATCTTGCTGGTAAAGCGAAAGCAGCCGTTGAACCATTCCTTCCAAAATCCACAGATGCAGGGACGCTGAGGCAACAAATGAAAACTGTTTGCTCCCAACGTAACAAAAAGAAGGTACGCTTTTGAGGTGGATATTTTATTCTATCTCTTTGTGGGCTAAAGGCTTACTGGTTCTTTTTTATGGACCGTGCAGCTATTAAGGAAACTTGTATCGCAGAGTTAGAGCACCTTTTTAGTTAGGGAAAGCCCCGAGTGGTGCTGGTCTGTGGGTGGAAGTGGTTAACGATGTTGGATATCGTCCCATTTCTGAGGATCCAGGTAATTGTCAACATTTTCTACTTGTGTGAAAAGCAAAGTTTTTTGTACCTCTCCAAAGCTCGAGCCAGATTTTGATCGAAATGCCCTTCAGGATAGACTAATAGTATAGGGTTTTCTCGTTCCTGGCTTACCCGAACAAACAGGAATATTGCATCCGCTCCGCTCCAAGCCATGGTACGAGCCAGCTGCCAAACACTTCATAACACCATATTTGTGAGATACTTGTTCTATAGGGTGGTCTGAGCCCCATATGCGGATATCGCGTCGTCTTGGCGCGAGAACGCCTAGTACATGAGTTGGAAGCACCATGCCTGCGGTGCGACCGGAAGCGATATGGGTCGAAGTTCAAAATGTGACTCGGTTTCGGAGGGTGGACCAGTGAAAAGTGAGCTTTTTCTGTTGTAAAGCCAAGGTCAAAATGTGGCTCGGTTTTCGGAGGGTGGGCCAGTGAAAAGTGAGCTTTTTCTGTAATAAAGCCATCTCTTCTGAGCGGCAGTTTCAGGAAAAATCAAGAAAACGTTGGAACTGCTTTGTAGCGCAGATCTTGATCAATCGCTGCGACCATCCAAGATGCAGTGGCTTAATGGAACTAGTGACTTTCGCTCAGGTACGTCAAACGATGTCTTCTAGTGTTCTGTATCAGTCGCATTGTGCTTATCTTGCTCTTCACTCATCACTTGAAGAGCTGACTTCTTCGTCTAGTTCCGTTGAGATCGTTCATTTCTGTTTTTACCGTGTTCTGAATAAAAATTCTGAAACGCGAATGACGCTCACATAAGTCAAATAGTGCAATTATTCGTTCACAGCCACTCTGATTCACACATTGCGAGTTTCCATACGCTGTTGCGAAATCCTCTTGGGAAACGAGAATTCTCTCTCCACACGGTTTGTCCCTAAAGTCGAATTTCTCTGGGTGTCGCACCATTGGTTTTCGTAGTTTTCGTTGGATAACCTCTTCATTTCGAACTAAAATTGAGTCGCTATGTTCGATTTTCATGAATTGTTCCATTCATTCCATTATTGTCTTCCAACATAGCCTTCCTCGTTAATTAGTCCTAGTTTATAGCGTCGATTGAAGAAATCAATGCGTGGAGACAGGAACTAGACTTCATTTGAATGTTGTTGTGAGGTAGGAGTTGGCTGGTGTAATTGTGGGTAATACGGCAATTAGAACGTGAAGGACGTTCAGGAGTGGGAGGAGAGGCCCGAAAAATCAGAAGGCAGGGACAGTCGCGGAAGCGGCAGTGTAACAACAAATTCATCCTCACATCGTTCTCAACCGTTTTCCAAAAATTTCCTTCAAACTCACCACATTCTGTTCAGATTGCCACTGATGAATGCGATTTCGGAATGGGATTGGAATTGGGTCAGTGGCTGTTCCTTGCAAACCATGAACAGTTCGATAAAGTTGCCCACCGACTTCTCGGCACTGCTTATTCATTATTGGGTCGTGGAGAGTACAAGAAGATTCTCGATCTTCAAATGGCCCCAGGTATCCGAAGAAGAGATGAGATTGACGCTCGAAAGAAGAAGACTGAGTAACATTGATACATTAACACCCATAAGCAAGATTAATGTTGTTCGATCTTCACTTGCTCTACCTCACATGTATTTTAGCTCCCACTTACTCTCTTCAACACATTTACACCTTTTTATGTTTTCTTTCGACATAACCCTTGCTGCGGTGTTTCATAGCTCTATGATCTCTGTACCCATAATAATCACGTACAATAAAGATTCGCTTTCACCTCTTTGCCTTTTGCTCATGTGGTTTAGTACCTGAGGTTACCTTTATGGGTTTATCCTCATTATGCAGTCGTGTTCGCTGTGGATGATGGGGCGTGTCAGTGCAGCTAAGTCTAGCGCAGTGCCATATCCGTTTTCCACCAGTTTCTGAAACGGGTAAGCGAAAACAGCAGTAGGAAACGACTGATTCGAAGGGCACGACTTCAGTGTTGTCACTTGCTCGGTTCAACAAGTGGTGAGAAACGGGTTTGGCGCCGCGCCACAAACCATCACAGCGGCCACGCCCCATCATCCGCAGCGAACACGACTTTGTATCCTGTTGCATTCATTTTCTGCTTGATCATCTTCAGGAAATAACAAGATAATCATTGCGAGCAGCTTAGATTGGCGTGATATTGTTCGCTGATCCGAAAGCGTAATATCCACAGATCATCCAAATTTCATCGAATTCATGAGGTGAAGTCATCAATGCAGCGATCGTGTGAAACATGACGGACATAAAGGTAAGCAACGATTGTTGCGAAATATTTCCGCTTTTTACTGTTCCTCAAGTTTTGGGCGCTATTCGGCTTGGGGAAGGTACAAAGTTTCATTTAATGAAGCTCGTACACGCCACCTTGTAAAAAACCAAAGCGCTTGACTTGTACCATGTAGTAGCTTCACAAGATTTTACAGATTAGCAGGAACTAACCAAAACAACAAGCGAAAGTGCTAAATGTACTCCAACCCTTCCCTTTTCCCTCCCACCTCCCCTAACAGCGTTGAGTATTGATCTCACATCGTGGATATGTCCCACATTTGTACACTATGAGAGACAAGCTCATTCAGATTGTCCCACTTGGGGCTGGGCAGGACGTTGGCCGATCATGCATCTTGGTGACTATCGGCGGGAAGAACGTGATGCTTGATTGTGGCATGCATATGGGCTACCAGGACGAACGACGTTTCCCTGATTTCTCGTGGGTTATGGGTTATTTCTTTTGTATGTTTGCTTCATTAGAGCTTTTTTCAGATATATCGGTGGAGGAGGAAAGCTGAATGATTATTTGACTTGTGTGATTATATCTCACTTTCATCTCGATCACTGTGGATCGCTACCTCATATGAGTGAAATCGTTGGATTCGATGGTCCTATCTATATGACCTATCCGACAAAAGCTATCGCACCAGTGCTTTTGGTGAGTTATGGATATACTAGATTGCAGACAACTGCGACATTCATCCTCCATATGCATTGATCCTTCTTTTCCCAATATTAGTCCTGTATTTATTATGTTGAATTTTTGTCAGGAAGATTACCGGAAAGTACAAACCGAATTTCGTGGGGATACAAGTTTCTTCACTTCGGCTAACATCAAAGCATGTATGAAGAAGGTCAGCTCTCTATATTGTCTGAACTTTTATTCCTTTTCCTTCTGTAGGAAATACCCGCGGTATCCCTGAGAGTATATAGAGCTAGTGAACCCAGTAAAAGTTCGTTGTGGCGAGAATAATCATCTGCGCCGTAACGAGGAGGTAGTAGTTCCCTTCTTCCCTCAGGATCAGTATTGGCAAAATGGAGACGACCAGAAGCACCGCTTCTTAGTTTTGCTTCGTCCTTCAACCACCAGCTGCAGTAGCCGCTAGTTTCTATTGTAAAGAAGTTTCGCAACGTCATCAAAAGATCATCAGAAGTGCTGCTTATGAGTTCCGTCGTTTCAGGTAATAGCAGTGGATCTTCATGAGACCGTCCAAGTCGACAACGAACTTTCCATTCGTGCATTCTACGCTGGCCATGTGCTTGGCGCAGCCATGTTTGAAATCCGTGTTGGCCATCAAAGCATACTTTACACAGGTGTTTGCGTTGGCACGTTGGAAATTTGCCATGGAAAATATTTTTTATTGCTTGCAGGTGATTATAATATGACACCCGATCGACATTTGGGTGCAGCTCGAGTGCTGCCAGGCCTTCGACCTGACTGCCTGATCTCTGAGTCCACTTATGCGACAACAATCCGAGATTCGAAGCGAGCACGAGAAAGGGACTTCTTGAGAAAAGTTCACGACAGAGTAATGGCAGGTGGAAAGGTATAAAATTCAAAGTCTCAGCATTTTTCCTCGTTTTCATGTGACCGTACATATGTAAACTCCATATCCCATAGATGGAAAGGGCGTGGTTGTGCACTTCTTTGAACGTGGTGTAGGATGCGTCTTTCGTGGGTTTTTCCCCCATGTCAGACAGATGTCACCCTGTCTCTGCTGGACGAAAATGGTTGCAACTTCCCCAGTTGGCTATAGTCCATCAGAAGGCTGACAGCTTCAAATATGGTAACTAGCCACGCCCTCTCTGTCCCCATGGTATGGAGTGTATGTTTATTAGATGCACGTATGGTTAAGGTTCTGATTCCCGTTTTCGCGTTAGGACCGAGCTCAAGAAATGTGTATCCTTCTTGAGTCGTATTGGGAACGAATGGACCTGAAAATACCTATATATTTCTCTCAAGGGTTAGCAGAACGAGCAAATCAGGTATGTTTGGATTTAGTTATAGCTTTATTCGCTGCGGTTGATGTTGTATACCAGTGAGGCTAGGTTTGGCCCGCCGCCAGAAACAACAGCAATCGGTGGGACAGACTGATACGAGCGATACGATACTGTCTTGTTGCCTGCTAAGGGAATAAAAAAAGTAAACAGGCCGTGTCAGCGCCGAACCATCCTTCCCTATAGCGCCTCATCATCCGTAGCGAATAGGACTGTTCCCCATGACAGTCATAATTTATTTTACACATTCCGCGATAATAATTGGGCGGAGAGTCTTAACCACCTTTTCGTCCTTGCCGCTCTGCTCCTCTCTGCGACGTTAGAAAGAAGGATGCACCATTGAAGATTGTACAACGTTTGTGTCTCCGCCCGTACAAGTATCGCGAAATATGCCTTTGATTGGTTGTAATTGATCTTATATTCCAGTATTACCGGTTGTTCATCAACTGGACGAATGAAAAGATCAAGCGTACATTTGTTGAAAGAAACATGTTTGATTTCAAGCATATCAAACCACTCGATAAGGGTTATGAGGAAATGCCCGGCGCTATGGTTTTATTTTCAACTCCAGGTTACGGTTTTGACTTTGTATGCACGTGACTCAGTGACTTTATGATATCTTTTCAGGAATGTTACATGGTGGCCAATCTCTCAAGGTTTTTCGTAAATGGTGCCATGACCCAAGGAATATGATTATTATGCCTGGTACGTCTTCTCTTGTTTTACTTCGAGTTTTTCAGGTGATTCTCTGAAGCACTGAACCCTTATAGGTTACTGTGTTGCTGGAACAGTTGGCGCAAAAGTAATAAGTGGAATGAAGAAGATCGAAATTGAAGGCAAAATGGTAGGTCATAACTGTGGGCTGAATTTCACCAAGATTGCTCGCTTTCAGCATGACATCAAATCTGGCGCTAGAATACATGTCCTTTCAGTGCACATCCGACCGAATAAGAAGGAAATAATGCAGGCAAGATTAACTTGGCCACCTAACTTTGTCTGTTGTAACTCTCTCGGACGAGTAACGACTCTATGGTGTGATCAGAGCGGATAAGGACAAGGCGATTCGTAACATATTGTCACGCGTCGACAGCAACATATCCTCCGGATGTAGCCTAGTCGGCACTCGACAGCTTTTACTTTTTGCAGAAAATCTAAGACGTCGATGAAGGTCTTTCGAGGAGTCATCGCAGAGCAACTAGTCCGACCTTAGGTGAGAACTAGCTTGAGAATGGAAACATAACCCTCGATAAACGAAGTCACGATAAGCCAAGCTTTGCTTTCCCTAGGATTGCGAAATTGAATTGTTGAGAGAGATAAGAGAACATAAACTGAAAGCCAAATGAAAGTGACTGGCAATTGAACTTAGATTGTTGTGTAAAGGAGGAAGCCAGAAACGGCAGAGTGCGGATACACCAGCACATCGTAGTAGCAGTAGTTTCAAGCGGCAGAGTGGTGACATGGTAATACTGAATAGTATTAGTACAAGGAAGCAATGTTTAGATAATTCTTACTAAAAGTAGCTATGAAAAAGACGTTTCGACTTTCAGATGATGCAAGCAGATTGTCAACTGGCGGCAGCGTGATGTATATGTGCATCGGCGAAAGCGCAAAAAATGGAATTCCTGAAAGGGAAAGTTGAAAAGACGTAGTTAGAACACGATGCTGCTTCTGCAAATCGTTGTATTAGACGTTCTGAAAGTTCTATTTCGTGACACACAGAAAAAAAAGTAACAACTCCCACAATTTCAGGAGTACTCCGAATATCCGAGTGTGATGCCTGCGATGCGTGAAAATCCAGTGGTGAATATCCTGGGATTGGCATAGCTTAGAAGTCGATGTTCGCACAAGACATCGATTCACGTGAGTTTGGATTCGACACCACTCCTTCGAAAAGGCTTCGCGTCTGCTGGCATTGTTTAGGATAGTGATAGGACAAAGGCCGGTGAAACCCCATTATTATCCACGAGCATCTCGAAGGCTTCATACTTCATTAGAAATTTTTTAGAAATGGATTAGAGGTGATCTCATGTGAAGCAGCTGCCAGCCGGTTACAGCTCGGTTTGCATACAATAACACTGTCACAGTTGGTGAAATCTCGATCAGTAGTTGACTGGAGAGCTCTTTCTGAAGCGCTGTCCATTCATGATACCCATTTGCAACATAAGCAGGTGAGGTTTTTGACCATCTGGTAATATGAATAGTAACCAATGAATGATTTTTAGACGGCACCAGTTGGCTGCAATTTTTTAATGAACCTTGGAGTGAATTCATTTGTTCACTGTGTTGTTTTCAGGACGGCATTGAGCTTTTCCATGGTGAAATATGTGTGCTACCGGTAAAGGGAGACGAAAATCAGGTATGCAGTGGGAAGAGAACTTTCAAACTCTTGAGGGGAAACTGCACACTCATCTCTGTAGATCCTGCTTCTTGCCATCTGCGAGTTATAGGTTTGCAGCTGCAGTAGCGTGCCATCTTGCCCGCTCAAAAGTGCGCAGGAACGGAGCTGGCTAGGGTAGGAGAGGATAATGACACCTTATGCCGTCCGAGACACAGCCTGCGTTGCCGACGGCCAGCCTTACGCCTGACCATAGCCAAATGCGCTGCTTGTCTGCTCCCTCTCACTTCAGCTTGTTCCAAATCTCTGACCGCGTGTTCACAGCAGCATCTTGGTATTGAGGCAATCCCTGCACCTTGAGGATAGTGCGCGGAGTCTGGAGGCGGCCTTTGGGTACCGTATCTACAGCCCTGTTCTCCCGCACTTCTGAGCGGAAAAAAAGTGGCAAGTTTGCAGCTGCAGACCCCTTTAACTCGCACATGGCGAGGACCGTCCTCAGAGGTGAGTGTGCAGTCTGTCTTCTAGTTGCTATTAACAAATTTTCAGGTGGAGTTAGTATGGGATGAATGTAGAGAAGCGTGGCAGTCAACTATTCTACAAACGATCCAAGAAACTCTCAGCAAACAAGCAAGTGTTGTGTCCAACTAAGATCTCCAACTACCGTCGCTATTTATCTTCTGTCAGTTTTTGTGAAGTTGTCGAAGAATTTGCCTATAACTTATGAAGCTGTGATTGTTGAACAGATGAAGTACAAATTAAATGAACCATTGGCTACAGAGTGTCTTATATTGAACTGGTCAGAACTGTCTCCACGGTTTTCGTACTTGCGCTTTTCTTTTTGTTGTTTTTGCAGGGTAACGCCATTGTTCTATGTCCTAACCAGGTAATTCAATCCTTGGGTTTTCGATCGGTTGCGTCTGCGTGATGAAACGGTACATCATCGTCGGAGAATCCCATCATGAGGTCGTACTCGGTCATTCGGGAGGGGGTTCGTATCTGGTCATGATAGAAATTTCCCACGTGAAAATTTTTACACCGGGGAAAGTGACACGTGAACAGCATGTTTATTGCCCACCCCCCCCCCCCC